AGTAAGCTTTTAGGAATGTCTGCTCTCGGTAAGGCCTCTCTGGCCTCTGACAAGGATGTCACTGTCGGTGTCAACCGGTACTGATCGACAAGTGGGACCAATCGAACCGTACTTCCAAGCAATGTACATTTCCTCTCAGCGATGCTGAGCTCAAGAGGTATCGCCTTACTATCGACTGTCGCCCACTTAACAACTTTCGGCTACTAGTGGATGCTGACGCTACCTTTCTGTTCATGCCGGTCGACGATGCTCAAGGCACCAGTTGCAAGGGTAACGAGGAGCACGTCTACAAGCAGTATCAGCGCGGTGCCATTGTGCTTCTGCATGATATTCCGGGTGAACACACGGGTTATTGGAGTAAAGTTCATCTCGAGGATGCCTACGGTGCTCTCCGCGTTTCAACTGCTCTCTCACGGCTGTCCGGCACTGTCAGTATTAACTCTAATGGCCAACAGTATGTATAGAGGTTAAGAAGCCTCGCTCAAGGCTGGCGATGGGCTCCACTATAATTTCAACTGGCAATGACCACTATCATGGATGGAGATACTAAGCCGGCCCTTGCCAGAGCCGGATTGAAGGCCTCAGTCATACATGTTCAAGACGATATCTTGATCGCCAGTTGTGACATTGACGCCGGTAACCGGGCGTTTATTATCGTCACTGATATTCTACAGCGACGTGCTGGTTTTATCGTCAATTGCGTCAAGCCCCAACCTCCTGGGAAGGTCGCTGGCTTCTGTGGTCTCCAACTTTGTGCGAAGATCTACCGGCCTACGCCAAGCCGCAGGGAGTTTACTGAAGCCACCTACACTCTGGCTCTAAATGACTCCATCAACTGTAATCCCAACAGAGGCAAAAGAGGTAAGAAGAAAGTTGCTACCACGGGCAATCAACTGAGGGACCGTCGTCTACAGTGGCTCAGAAGCTGGTGTGGTGTCCTCAACTATGTCCATCTCTCCCTGGAGGCTCAAGATGCTCTCAATCAGCTATACTCCGTTACCAAGATCTATCAAAACGATGATTCTTGTACTGAGGACTTGCATGCTACAATCGACACTGTCTCATCAGCCTTCCGTGGATTGTCTGACTTGTACCTCAATGCAGTGATACCGTGTGCAAATGATTGGAAATGATGGCATTGCTAGCCTGGTGGTCACTGACGCCGACGCTGACGCCTACGGCGGCATCATACACAGGATTCTAAAGGTCGGTGCTGGTGCTGAAGAGTTCGCCGCGGCCACAGAAACTGTGCTCAAGCATGTTCCTGATCTCGGACACCAATCTTCTGCCTGTGGTTCCTATCAAGACCTGCGGAGCACGTTGGTCTCGGGTGGGATCATCAATCAGCTCTACATGGAGAGAACGACCCGCAGTCCTCAACGTTGTTCAATCTTGTCAAGCTCTACTTTTCGGTAAATGCATCGCCATCATCGACAACACCAATGCCCAGCGAGTATGGAATGAGCTTGAGGCCGAATTCAGTGTGGGCAGCTACCTCGGCGAATGGCAGATAATTCAGCGGCATATCCACTCGCTCGTCTGGGACCCTCGTGAGACTCTGCCTGCCATCACCGATGCCATCTCAAGGAGCATTTCACTCAGTACTGATGGCGTCAATGTCCATATCCACTAACTAAGGGCAGTCTTCATGGAGTGGCGTAGTACATCGTGCACCAAGGAGTTCACCACGTTGGACGACGACTACGACTGTTTGCAGTGGCTAGCCAAGGCTCAAGATGAATGTCCCCAGCTTCAACAACTTCGGCAAGTCAGCTCCGGGAAGTATCAACTCAATGATGCCGGTCTAAGTCAACGGCCGCTATATGGTACTCAAACGCTACGGACAAGGTATGATATGGAAAATTCACATAGATGGAGTCGTATGCCCATTGTGACGTCGCTCAGTGTATATCTCTCATCTCTTCCGTCTTCTATCTACCTGGCCTAGCTGTGGCTGTGGCGAAGGTTCTCAGTCGGTGTCGTTGTTCCTTCATCAGAGCTGCTCACCTCTAACTCTCGGATATCTTGGACAGTCGAAGTTTCGTTATATTCTGACGTGGACGTGTGCTGCCTCCCACTTCATTGGTGTCATCCCTCTTAGCTGTGCCACCTCCAAGGCTGTTGCCAATGCACTGGAGCGTAATGTCATCCGTCTTCGGTCGAGTGAAGGAGATTGCGGCAGACAATCGCAGCCTCCTTCGCCGCATGGTGTCGGTCCCTATCCATACGATGCTGGCATATACCCGTATTTGCACCTTGGCGCAATGCTCTACTTGAATGCCAACACGAGTCTATTAAAGCTAGTCCGAAGGTCCCCATCGACTCCGTCGAGCATCGCTGGCCTCAATACCACGCCAAGTTCAAGATCGGTGATGTTGTGCTGCCATGGACTCCAGCAGCAGCTAGTCTCCAACCGAATTGGAAAGGACAGCACACTGTTGTTGCTACCCCCGGTCACTTTACTGTGCTCCTGCGCGCCGTTTCAGATATTCTAAGATACTCCTAAGATACGCCCATGACATTCTCTATCTGTGAGCCTAAGTATATCCTAGGGACTGTTATCATTGGAAGTATGTTCTCTTCCTTGCTGCTCAGCCTAGTTCCGTTATCTGTGGAGACCCAATGTCCCATTTTAGGCTAGTTTATTCATTATTTTGTACTCAATCTGGAATCACGATGACATTATGAATTAACGAGTTGCGTCCAGAGAGTGAGCGGGATATTCTCACAACTTCGACTTCCTCGACTATCCCTGAATTCCGAAATAAGCTTCTTTCGAGATTCGAACCCGAGACACCCGGGTCACAGAACCACTCCGAGTGGTTCTGGAATCGATTGTGAAAACGGTCATAGAATCGCGCAAAAGTTCCTTTGAACGCGCTAAGAACCACTTCTGGAAACGTTTCTGGGATCGTTTCGAGAGCTGGTTCTATGAACGAAAAATCCCAGAATCCTTTCTAGAAACGCTCCTCATGTTCAAAATCGGTCTATTGAACAGGCGGATAGTCAAGATACTAATGGTTGACAACCATTGGTTGGAACGACGAGACTGCCTTGAAGGAGTAACCAATTTTATTGGAGAAGGTTGCATTGATGACGTTTACCTATCTGTGGAAAATAGTAGTACTCTATTCAAAGCCATGCAAAAGTCGGAAGACGGGCTTGCCCTCGAAAAAGGCACCGCTTTCGAAAAGTTTTCTAATGCTGAGTAGTAATCGAAACCCGAAGGTCTTCATCTCTATGCCTTTAAGCTCATAGAGCTGTGAAATCTAGCGGACTAACGTTACACGCCAAGCCCAGAAATGATTTGCTTATAGCTAAGTTCATAACTCCAATACCTGCTGATTTACTGGTTAATTTAAGAAAGGCACGAGAGTTTATTCATCAATAACAAGATGAATCACGTATGGTTTAGAGACTCCAAGATAGTCAGACGGCATTCAGTGAATTCAATACCTGTTCCATCACAATTACTGGTATTACTAGCTCTACTCACACCACGCCACCAACTGGCCCCACTGTTGATGGTCGTTATCAAGCCTCACTGTCAAGAGCTATACAAACAAGCGTCGTGGTTTCCCTCAATGTAAGTCGTGGTCCTTTACTTGGGACTACAGCGGTATCCCTGCCCATCTTTGGCATCTCCAGGATGCCGCTCCCGATTGTGGGAGTCGGAGTTATCGTTTTTCACGGAACGGACGAGGACCTGACAGTCGAAATCATACTGTCAGTCATGAAGATGAGGTTAGTATGTATGATGTTAGCAATGTTGTTAAAACTATTGAGTATGATAATTTCTTGGGGATCGAGTATGGCACACCCTGATCGCACAGGGGTACAATATTACAATATGGTCGCATGTAAGCATTGATAATATACATGAGTATTCATGGTATAATATGGTCGCGCACGAGTATTGATAATGTGATATGGTTGCATGCGAGTACTAATAGTACCGTATGGTTGCAAATGAGCGTTGATAGTGTTAGAGGGTCGCACATGAGTATCGATAGTATAACATGGTCGCACACGGGTATCGACTCTATTACATGCTCGCATA